TCTCGTGGGAATACAGCGCTCATCAGAGTTTGCAAAGTGCGCAATAAATCGGTCAAAATTGAGACCTACTGTGAAGGTAAAGAAGGCTTTCTAGCAATCTGAACACCTTCTTGGAAGCCGGTTTGAGTTCTTACGTGGGAGAAAAGGGGAAGCGTTGGATGCTTGAAAGAATGCGTTCAGCAGCAATTCCGTGTATTATGCTTCTAAATTGTCGACAAGAAGGTTACTAAAAAAGTAGTTGGAGCGAAGAACGTGGCTAGGCCCCCCCAATTGTTCTCTTAAGCCCGGAAAACATGTAGACGGTATGGATACTTATCCGGTAAGGTCTGCTCTATGCGAGTTCAAATTATTGCAAACAGGAGTCGCAGGGGTAAGGCGTGCGCAATCGAAATTTTGCAGCACAGAGAGATGTAGGACAGGATGACAACCCGCCGCACAATTGAGCCTGCCAATCGAATGTGCAGTCTATGCTAGGCTTCTAAGCTCCAAATGCGTTAACGTTTTTGGACTACGTGTCTACTGCTCACGTCAAAAACATGGGTGGAATATGTATTCCGAGCGTGTATGTTTGCCTGAGCTTTTAGAAGTCCTTATGTCGTGAGCGTGGCAGATTTCAAGTGCTCGTTTATGCTGAGCAGTCAGAAGAAAAACTAGTCTACGTTTCCTGCTCTGGAAAGCGCGGTAGACTATACTATGCGCCGAAAAGACTGGCAGAGTTGCAAGTTGTAACTGGCCACACCTGACCCAGCGCGACCTCAGTGTTGACTTTGTATTGTGGCGCAGCACATCGTAGAACTGAAATCGACCTCGGCGAGCTATTGTTGCTGACAACAATTCAGATTCTTTTGGCCACTGGGAACAGGACACCGAGCACCGTGTGGCTGTTAGTCTCCAGTCGATGTGGTCTGGAAAGGTGTCTCGTGAGCCTACGAAATAATCAATCCGAAGCTCAGCGCACGATCCATTAGTCAAGTGCTCTGCAAAGCTCACCGAACGAGCACATAAAGATGTTTACGTCCATGCTGTTTCAATCGTACGTACTATTCCCATTTCTTGGCTGCGGATCTTAGCAGCAAGCACCTGGCTGTCGTACCCAAGCTAGATGGAAGTAAAGAACAAAATCCAGACAACGAAGTATCGCATTCGTGCACGTAAAATGGTTTGGCGGATGTATTGCCTTGTTACAATCTGCACACAGAAACGTGTGTACACTCAAATGGTGGATCACAAACTGCAAGGTCCATCGACCCAGTTCCCTGTATGTAGCGCAGTTTGTTGTCAAGCTAGCGGATCTTGGGGTTGTGTTCATTCAATCTTGCTCCTGTGTACAGGGTAATCAGATAGATCCCAATAAACCGCTGGCACGAGTTCGTTACATTACAGCGAGATGCGAATCGCCTTGGGCAGCATACTTTAAACATGTGTCAGCAGAGAAGCTGACCACACGTCCGCTTGCTATCACTCTCCTTCTACGACGTTATCATTGCAACCTGTGTCTTCGACGTACCTCCTGATCGATACAAGAACTTCTGGCACTATGTGCTCATGCAAGGTGATAGCGTCCGACAAGATAGGTGTGGTCTGGTCGGACGGACGCATGACATTTTTCAACGTTGATACGGCGGCGGTGGAGTGAAAAAGAGGCCTGTAACGGATCTCATGTTTCTAAGAAAGAATGTCGACGGCGGATCCTCACCACGGACGCACAATCGCGACGTTACATACTTTTTTCCAACCTTGACTTTCTAACTTGTAGGAAGCAAGTCGATACGCTTGAGCTGCCTGTACTTGCCAGATAGCTGACGTGAATTCGACGTTCTCAGTTTGATTTTACTGGCATCACGTCACCACACGACACAAGTCGATGGCTTTTTCAATTTGAGATGACAACAAAGTCGCGTCAAGAAAACACTGTCAACGACCGCGTCAAATCGTGCGTTACTGCAAGATCACTATCTCTCACCACATTGCTTTGCTTATACCGACGAACGTGCGAGTAGCAAGGAAAGAAGCCTCGGCATGTTATCTTGTCATGTGTCGGGTCATTTGATGGGGTGTCAGTGGCGTCATTTTGCCAAAGAGTCGTGGTAAGCGACCGTCGCAGTGCTGTTTCCATTAGCGGATGACACGAACTTTGGATAATTTTGCTGTGTAGGTGCACCATCATTTCGGTATCGCCCTCAAAGCGAGGATGTCAACGGGTGTGTTGAATCTTTTCACTACAGTCTCCAATATCCCGATGCTGACAAGGTTCCCAGTCGCCACTCTGTTGTTGTTGTTAGTCAACGACTGACTTGGGCAGTGTTGATGGTGATCAAACGACATGGACAACAAGCTGCTGCGTGAAGGCAGGCAATAGACAGGAGGGTAAGCAGTATGTGTGCCCAGTCGCTAGCTACAGATTTGCAAAAGTAGAATTTTGATGCCACGCTGAGCTGATCCTTTGAGCATGTACGGAAGTATTCGTGGCAACGCCAAGAAAGCAAGAGAGTGATCGAGAGCTATCGTACGCCGTAGAGTTGGCAAAACTAATGTCTGCATGCTGGCATCTTATGGACCGATGAGAAGCGCCCAAACTCTCGCTTCGATTCTTCACCCGACCGTAGACCATATTGGCTGCACCCCAACATCCCTCGCCCGAAGCGATGCTGGCCAGGATGCGTCGAGGCGTGGCATTTGTGAGAGTACAAAGTAGCGTTGGTGGCACGAAGCGAGTAGCGACTTTGGAGCGATACTGATCGAGGCAAGACCGCTTTTTTAGTGTGCAAAGCTTCTGTCGCGATGGATGAAACCATGTGTCGAATGGCCAGTAAAGACCTGCACACTACTCCTGGTACAATTTCAGTCTCGGAATGATTCAGCGAGTTTCGTTCATGAAGGAACGAGGTTACATCATCACCTCAAAAAACATTCGTGGACGTGGGACATCGTTGAACACTGGAATGCCCAACAGGTGAATGAAAAGCCCATGGGTGATCGTGTTTGAGCAGGGTCTTCTTTTGGGTAGAGGTGATAGAGATGCTCTGCGTAAGGACCGAACCTGTTTAGCTCTTGCATGCTCATACCGGTACACTCAAGAGGGTTGCACAAGCATGCAAACATCCTACCAGGAAAGGGCTATATTTCATACCGCGTGTCGATGTAACATCAGACGTACGCCATCCGATTCAATCAGGAAAAATCCATCGCTTCTTGCACCCTTTTGTTTCTGCTAGCACATTGATCGGCTGACGGCAAGACGACCATGGTAGCAATTTGGGTGAATACCTCGCATTGCATATTGAAATCTGTAGGCTACACTCGTGGTACTACACACGGAGAACGAGCACGTAAAAACGCAATGGTCCTGGCCGTGGTGGACCCGAGACGAGTCTTACTGCTGTGACGTCAAAAATAACGTGCTGTCGCAAGGGCGGACGATCCTAACAATAGCATGTCAAATGATACCGCGACAAACGACTTGATGTGAAATATTGCTGGCGTCGCAGCTCAACTGGAGGGAGTCAATTCCTCAGCTTTGTACCAGTCTGCTGGCTGGTCCATACAACATCTTTTCCGTGCTTCCTATGCACATCTCTTTGCTTGGTGCGTACAGCACGCACCGACACCCACAAAGCCACAGTTGGAAAGATCGCGTCAAGCTTTAGGTCTGAACCCAGACTTTGGCTTGGGATTATTGCTCGCGTGCCTGGGCAAATCGCTTGTATCTATCGCAAGATCGCGTGCAACTGTGGTCGCGTTTCACTGGAAATGAGCTGAGCAAACACTGGCTGGAAATGCGATAAACGCAAACGCCGTCATTGACGACTATGGTCAGAATGCTTGATCTGCAAAAGGAGCCACACATTTTCCTCAATGTCTGCAATAACTTTGCAAGTGTAAAGTATTACGACCGTCCTTTAGCGAATTTCGGTGGCTAAGTGTGCCTTTTAATCAGCGTTCAGACCACCAGTACCGACGTGTTATTGCAGTTTAAGTCTGCCTGTCTTTTACGAGCTACTCAAGTGCGTCTTCCATTGACAGAGGAGACGTGACCTTACCCCATATAACTGCATGGTCAATTAAAACCTCGCGCTCGCACGAATCGTTAATCCGAGACCGAATGTCGTTGACTTTTTTCACGAACTAGCCACGTCCAACATCGATCGACTCGACACCGATCTTTTCTACTCTGCTTTCTCTTTCTATTCGTTAAGTGCATGTTATCCACCGCGCAGTTTTGACGTTACCACGCGCCGGAGCTCCGTGACCCTATGCTGCTTCGTCGTTTTTGCCAAAAACCATCAGTTTACTACGGTTATTGTAACTTGCGTCTGCCGGGTCTGGGCAGCCACTTTATGCCAGGTGTCACAGCACCACGGTCGTCCGTCAAACGTAGGATCGCCGCACCCAAGTCGGCTGGGTCGGCGCGCTTTAGACATCACTGGTACTACCAGTGAGCCTTCGAGTCACGAAGCGTATGGTCTGTAACAGATTGGGGCGACGAGCGACGTGGGATTGAAAAGGGCGGGCGAGACAGCCATACAGTGGTGGTTAGAGTCACGGCCGACCAAAACGACCGCTCGTCGCATGCAACGGCTTCGCTCTGTAACGCCAAGCATAGACAGGCCATAATCGGTGCTGGCTCCTCTGGACTAGACCGACCACCGAAAAGACCTATTGACCACATAGTGTGGCCAAGTAATTAAAAGATGCTAAAAACGACCGACCGCCGAGCCAGCTGACACCCGGCATCGATCAACATTCCTCGAACGAGGGACGGACGGGCAGTGGGGCTGATTTTTGGTGGTCGGCCGTCGGGAGGCGAAAACACGTGACCCTGTACGACCTGCTGGTGTGTGTGTTTTTCTGACACCAAAAAGTCTCGGGTTCTCGCACCAAGTCCCACTCTCACTCGCCCAATCAAAAGTAGCCACTGCTCGAAAACGCATGCGCGACACGACCATGTCCTTCATAACACAATCTTCCGTCTTCGCCACACTGCGAACATCTTCCCAAGTATGAACCACGGCAGCACCACTACCGTCTATGAGACCAAGCGAGCTGCGTTTGCACTTCCAGCCAGTCTCGACTGTCCACCGCCTCGCCTCGACTTCTCCGACCATGGATTCGACCGCCTCGACGACGACAACCTCAGTGCACTCGAGCTCACCTTCAATGCGGCCGACGTCCTGCTATTCGCTGATCCAGCTCAGTGCGCGCCACTCAGCAGCAACTGTGACGCCGTTGACAGCACGTCTCCTCGCGCACCCGCTCATCACTCGAAAAAGGCCTCGCGGAAGCAGGTGCACGAGCTCCAGGGCATGGTCGACGCCATGCAAGAGCAAGTGAATGGCGCAGCTGCTGAAATCCAGCAGCTCACGCAGCTCGTAGGACAGTTTGCGCAGCAGCGAGCGCAGGAGCGGAGACACGCTGTGGAGCAGCAAGAGCGGCTGTTTGGGGAGAACGAAATGGACATGGACCTCGGCGACCAGCAGCGACATCTGCAAGCGCAGGTGCGGCAAGAGCGCGAGCAGTACATGCGGGACCAGCAGTAACGGCAGTGGCCAACATGTTTGAAAAGCGGGTCAGATCGAAATCAAGGGCCAGTCTACTGCGGCAGTTGTTGCGTGGGTGACAAGGCGCCATTGCCATTTGTGCGCGACGAGTCAGGGCATTACACACACAACACGCGCGTGAATTTATTATTTAGCGGCACAGTACTAAAACAAGTAGTAATTGAGCAAATACCATCCAAGGTCTCAAGTGTTTTTTTTTACTTTGTTGACAAGCTCATTTTATGGTAGCAATAAACTCGGTGCGTGTTTCGTATAAGTAGCTTTTGCAGCATTGCCCATCGCACGATCAACAATCGAACTCTGCGGCATTTGCCGGGATCGTAGAACGAATGTTGTCATTGCATTCTCACGTAACACATCTCAGGCAGGACCGATGTTGACTACATCGAGTTCACAGCTTATGCGCCAATGGAGCCGAGCTGGCTTAGAAATGCTTCTGGATTCAGCAGCTCAGTACAGCCGTACCAGATCGATCGCGGCGACTGCGACCTCGTTGTCGACGCCAACAGATTATGATATTCGTTGTAGTTGCCGCCACCAATCATAAATACCATCACTTCACGAAAAGGAGAGCGCTGTCGAGGTACGTCACCATTGGCCTTGATCTGCACAGAACAAAAGTAGCGTTAAGACCCAGTGTTGTATCACCACCTTCTATCGCGCTCGATCCTCACTCACCTTCGGATCCAGATACAAGAAGCTGTCGTCCTCCGTGTTAGGCTTCATCTCACATATCGCGTCCGTCACTCGCGCGACATGCAACATTTTGTTCTCGGGCAAGAAATTCTTGAAGCTTGCAGCGGCTTGAGCAAGAAATCCCTGAGCAAGGCCTTTGAACTTGCTCATATTGACACCACCGTCCGGTCCAGCACCAGTCTCAGACGGCAGACCAGCTCCGTCACTGGTACAACGCTGAAAAGCCGAGTGCTTGCGGAGTAACTTCCATGCCTGCATATACATCTCCGGCTGTTCGGATGCTGCAGCACACTGTTGGTAAGCGTTTTCAAAATCTGCCATTTCCGCACCACTGACACCACTCGACAAGAAGTAGATCATCAACAACCGCATTTTATCCGCCAAAGTGCCCATTTCTGCGCTTGACAGTAGCTGCAGCACTTCGGTCTTGTCAACACGCGAGCCATCGATTAGCTTTTGTTCCAGCATAGAGTAAGATGGAATATGACGCTTCGATACACCCTCGAACGCAGCGTGAAAGATGTTGGTGTGAGCTTCCAGCATCTTCTTCTTTTCCATGAGCGCCGGTAACGTGTCAACGGCAGCCACGAGATCCTTCGTGCCATTCATCAGGGCATCACTTCCCCCTGTTTGAGCTCGAATCTGCTCTTCCTTACGCGTAACCTGCTTCATTTCCTCTTCATTAGCGTCAATCGCGTCAGGAAACAGGCTGCCAGCATGTGTTTCGAAAAACTTGTCACACGTCACGTCCAAATCGTACGTACGCTCTACCAGCCGGCCGTCACCATCACCGTCTTTCCCAGCCGACGTCTTTACTGACACCTTTACGCGATTCAACTGAATGGACAAAACGTCATCAACTAGCGCCTGATACGTTGACGGATGGTACAAACTCGAAGCGATATCCTCATTTCGATCCATGATGATAAGCACCGGGCGCTGAATGAACAAACAGTACCAAACAAGGGGTAAGTACCAACTGGTGGATACGATCAGCTTCGATTTGAATGGCGGCTTCATACCTGAAAGTTGGATGTGTTTTCAGTAAACACGCCATCCCTCACATTCTGTACTCACGCAAACCATTTAACAACAAGGGTGAATAAAGTGTGGTCTACAACGAACAGTAACAGTACCACGCATACCAAGTGTTCGCGAATAGTGGCGCTAAGTTGCTCCGCCACCAGTCTCGATGGCCCATCATCATTTCGGCAGCGAATGACCGGTACCCTTCCAGTGGTAGCGAGGACTGAAAAAAGTCCTTTGACAACAGCACTCATTGTCTCCTCGATCTGCACGTCCGCCATATTCGGGTCGTTATACGCTCGATAGCTGTTGGGGAGATTCAGCGAGAACAGACCCGGTTCCAGCGACACGAAGTTCGTGTACTGGTCATACACCTTAGCAATCTACACGCGCCCAGACATAGCGGTCATGTAAGTATACCAAAAATAAAAACTCCATACACTACTTCTCCTCCCAAAAAGGTCCAGTGCACATATACCATGCTCGTGCAGCCTGCTTCCACTGAAGCTCGCGCTAAGTACTCCAGTGATTCGCGAGTCAAAGGGTAAGCAAAGTTCAAGTGTGCTGAGCTGTACAATTCCTTGGAACAGTCCGAAACAATCCGTTTCAAATTCTCGAGCGTAGGCTCGACGAAGTAGATAACCGGAACATCAGGGATCGCTTCACGCTCAGATTCCAGCAGCATGTGCAGCGTCACACCCTTTTTGCGGAGCTCATGCAGCTTGAGAATGGGCGAGATGATGTCGCGACAGAACTTGTCGTAGATCAGAATCTTCCACTGGTCGCCCCAGCGATCACTGCAGCAATACATGGAGGATGGGTGCACGTTCACATAGTACATGAATATAGTATAGTGTACAATTCCAGACATACACAGAGTCTTGAGCAGTATCCGTAAAGCCACCAGCGCTTTCGGAGTTAAAATCCAGCATGCGAAGCAAGTTTTCTATGCAAGAAAAGGGACTGGTAAGGACAAACAAGAGAAAGAGAAGGGAGAGTACAGATCAATCTCTAATCAATCATCAGGACGCACCTCGTTGCTTTTCCTGAAGCGACAGCGTCGTCGTTGGGGTCATCCTGGTGTGTCGAGGTGGTCGGTCGTTGATACGTGCGTGAATCGAATGTGCGCAAAGTGGACACGCGAGTGTTAGGTACGACTCGTACCTAAGCAAGGCGGCGTTTAGAAATTATACGTATACGAATCTCATTCGTGTGTGCCGCGTGTATATTCTTCAGCTTTCGGCGCTTCGGGATGGAGGAGGGAACGGTTCGTGACATTGCAACACGGCGGATCTCTCTGTCGCATGTTTCTAATCACTGCTGAGACTTTCTTCAGCATCTCGCCCACGTCTTGCGACTTCTTAAGTATACAGCGTCGACCACCTGTGTCGCAGTAATTGTCCATGTACTTCCTCAAACGCTTCGAGGCTTTGTGGACGACTATCAATGCACTCTGTGCTTGTTACTCGCATAACTCCTAAAGGCAAGCGATCTAACGCTCAGGACACCTTCATGGTATACAAACTCCATTCTATTGCAAATTTCATCCGTTGCAGTGCTCGTTCGAGCGCGAAATCGAATGAAAGACTTGGGCTGTGGTCATACAGGCACTGACTGGGCCGTTTGTAGGTACTGTCCCCTTAAAAGAGAGCAGCAGCATGCGGATCTCCATGACCGTGTGCTGCTTATACGAATGTCTGCTCTAGTAAGGATAGTTGTGAAGCCAGACTTTGACTTGCATGGACAGGAACTTTCCTTACACAGGTCCATAATAGGAGGCAAGGCCAACGCTCTGTGGCTTGCCGACCGCAAGATCGACTTCGACACCGTGCATCGAGTCTTTGTAGCCACAGGATGTCGCTGTCATCCTCGCTTCAAGTATCGTCGCTGTCATTTACACCTGATCGTTTGCTAGCGTCCGCAAAAAAAGAGCGGACCAGACGGCTTGCACGCGTTCGTGGACGTCCCAATAGGTAAACTCAGCAGGTCATGGGGGATGAAGGCCGATATCAACGAAGTATTATCTACTGCTGCCTTTTGCCAGAGCTGCCTTCGAATTCATGTTTAACAGTGTGCTGAATGATGGTCCCTGTATATCTGACTTGATGGTACATGCAGAACAGCATGCCCAAGGTGACAGCTTTGTGCAGCGGAAGCTATCGAGCCTCCGACAAATGTGTCAGCACGTGGTCCCAGTTGCTCTGCTATCGAAACTCGAGCTCGCAATTCTTAGATATGGCCGTGCCCATACGTACATTGACAGCGTACTTGCTGCGATGACAGTATGCTAATGGACATCACTTGCATGATGATCATAAACCAGAGGTACATCTCTGGGCTACAAAATTGACACCAACTCCGTGACTACAAATGTCAGGGCACGGGTCGATCACACCGCTTGACTTTTTCGAGCCAATGTGCACGTAGGTCTCAACGCTAGAAGCATGCACATGCACAGCTTGCTCCATTGTAGCAACAAAAAACCTCGAATCGATTAGTCCCGATGACCCGCGTCATTATTCGGATGCTTTTTACGAGGGCGTCTTTCGCTGACGCGGTGGTAGACAATCGATTGCATCTTTTTCGGCGACTCGGGGTTTTTACCAAGCATAATTACGCGTTCAATTGTTGACTTTCGATGAGCACTGATAGCCAGTCGTTCCACTCACTTTTTGGACTCTGACGATGCCATTATCTTTTTGACTCTTCGTAGTGGTTTTCGTGCTGAGCAAATGATTTACTTTAATCAGCTACTCTGAAAGAGGTTTAGTCGCCTCGCAACAGGCATGTTAGAGAACGGTTTATGATGCTCACAGCCAATGCATATTTGCGATCTCGGTCATGTCACGTGCAAGCCGTCACAGTCCAGCTGTAGACAAGTGCAAGAGAACGGCGATAGATCCAGCCACACACGTGCAGTACAGGATAAATCAAATTTGGTGTGAACAAGAAGCGCTCGAGGCATGTAGAAAAATAACTGCCATCAGCTTTTCCTAGTACCCTACATGACCTGATGCCTATCGGAGCGATAGCCTAGGCAAGCCGGGCAGCAATAAAGGATGCACTCGATCATACGTCATATCTAAGCGTGCACCTTGAGCTTTCTTTTGTGTAACGTCCATACAGCAGCTACGGCATTCCCGACTTGATGTAGGAGACCCACAGATACTGAGGCGGTCAGTTGTTCCAGCAATTAGAGTTTTATACTAACGTGTTGCAAACACATTTAGCGCTTCTTTCGGTCATGCGTCGGCCGTCTCGCCGTGGCATCCCAGACCAAGGTAATGTCTGCGGACGACAATAGAAACGTGCACGACATGCTGTCGGGTGCAAAGACATGCACCACCAAATTAAGTCATAGGCGAGCGCTCATACCACTGGGACAGTCAGATTAGGTGCCAGTGCCACTATGGATCCACCACGACATGACACACTAACGCGCACGGATCATGCAATGGCCTTACCAAACCCATATTGCAGTCTCAGCGGCCTTCATGACGAAGATCCAACTTAGAAATACAGTGCTTGGATTCGACGTATTTCGGCCACGTCTTCGCACAATCCTCAGGACCTCGTGATAGTGCAAGCGAACACACGGAAGTAGCTCTGGTGTGTTAGTGTTTCGTTAGCAGCCAGTTGGAATCGTTAGCTACAGATCGCAATCAGCCCAATTTTCTGATCACATTTTCTTGATGCTGAATGACCATTCCCTCACGTCGTTACCGCTAGTATAGCGTGACCCATCCACTGGCAAACCATTACCAATTACCACTCTTCTATTTAAAGCCAAAAATCCGTATGCTCTAAATAGAAGGGTGGTGGATGGTTAACGTTTGCCTGGTGGATAGATCACGCTGACCTTATCTTTATCACCACATAACGCCGATCGTGATGTCTCTAACGCTCGTGGCAGATCAATCCATGCGTCCGCAAAGTCGCTGCTACTTACCCGGATAACCAAAAAATCGCTCAGCCGCACTTGTTTTGCAACTGATGCAAGCAATTATCGCCAATCGACAATGACCACTGCCAGGAGTGATGGTCACTCCCATTTACTCCTAACGTTTCCACGTTGAGGTCCCATGGCTTCCGTGTGTGGCGCTCTCCGGCAGCTCACGAGCGTCTGCGTCGCGCCTCCCGAGTCTCCGCCACTCCAGCGCGTACCTTCTTCCTCGCTGCTTCTACCAAAACCAAACGCGCCGCTGAAGCTCTTGGCGCCTGCCACGCACGTCGCGCGCAATAGTCGCGTCGGGTACACGTCGCTGAACCAATTCACGCGCTCGGTCGAGAGTATCGCGACTCTGCGCGTACCCAAGATACAAGCAGGTGAACGCACGTCCAGCAGTGCTATGGACGCGCTGCTAGGCGTGCAGCTCGTGGCGTCTTCACGTCGGGACTTTCGCGTCTGTGTGAACTTTGTGTTGCCTGGGAGTGACGCGGAAGCGCAGGGGATCCGCCCGGCAGCTCTTGTCGTGGCAATTGATGGCGTCTCGATGCGTCACGTGAGTCTCCAGCGCGTGTTGCTGGCGATACGACGCGCGCGGACCTCAAGCGAGAAGAGGCGAATGGATGAGGGAGCAAAGACGATGGACGTACCTTTGGTGAATGATGGCAGTCGTGGGTGGATTGAAATCGACTTGGCCCAACGAGAACATGAGATGAACGTGGACCGCAATCCGCTTGCACTCACGCAGTTTCCGTCGCCCCAGGGCCAGCAGCTGCCAGGTGTGAAGCAGTTTCAAGACGGCAACAAAGAGAAGAGAGTGCAGGACTTCCTCATGCAGACGCAGGAACCGAGTCCCCCGGCTCTTTTGCTCCATGGACGAGAACGATCGAGGTCGTTCAAGCACTTTTGGATGTCGGATCGATCGAGCAAAGCGTGCTACGAATGCGAGCGGCTGTTTACGTTCTTTCGACGACGACATCATTGCCGCTCGTGTGGACAGATTTTCTGTGCAAACTGCTGTGCACGATTGCCCCAGTCGTTTGGCGAGAACAAAGTAGACGAGTCACTTGTACGCTTGAGGAAACAGTTGGTGTGTCATACGTGCCACCGCCAACTACGCGAAGGACTACAAGTGGAGCTGACAGGAGCTAGTTTTGAGGATGACTCGCAGAAACCGATGCATTCTTCACCTACGCAGACGCTGCTGCTTATGCCTCAGCATATTGTGGAAGCTATGGAACGCTCGATATCTGATGCGTCAAAATTTAAGCAGCTGGACAAATCGGAGCTTTTTGGTAAAGATGAAATCAGTGATGAAATGCGGGTGAGTGAGCAGCCTGAGAAGTCCCGACCACCGGCGCTGTTTGGTATGTTTCCGAGAGTACAAATCGTTGCAAGCGCGCAGCATCTGATCCATCAACCACACCTGCAGGAACTAAGCAAAGAGGCGAAACAAATCGAGCGAAGGACTGCCCGTAGACTTCGAACATTCAGCGAGTCACAAATCTTGCTTGGAATAAAGGGCGCGCAGCATGCGTCCCAAAAATTGAAGCGCTCAAACAGTCAGGCAGAATTTGGTAACCCAAGCAATCATCGCTGGAGCGAAGCGGAGTTTAAGCGTCTTGTTGCAGAATCAAGTGCACAAGCACGACTGCGCGGTGCGTATCCCACCTCAAATGCTATAACGACGCGGCCAAAGGCTTTATCAGCGCCATCCAACACTGCTCGTTTCGGAAGTGCTGTCCAGTGGAACACTTTTGGCCCCGACAAACTTGTTGCGAGCGATGTTGGCATCCTGGCCATGGTTGGCCTGTCCAAAAATGCTCGCAACGAGCTCGATGAACCCGAGCATGTCGTCAGAAGAGAAGCAGCGGTGGAAAAAATGTCAAAAGATGCTCGTGATCGCGTTGAAGAGCGCATATTCCACTTGCTGGACAGCTCTATGGCAGTATCAAAGTTGTTTATGATCGAACAGCATCGATGGATGCAAATTATTAACCTGTTCGCCCACCGAGCTGCACTCACTGTCTCGTGCGAGCCTGACAAAGGTGATTCGCTGGATATTATGCAGTACGTCCGCGTCCAATGTTTGGATGGAGGCCGCGTGCAAGACAGTTTCTTCATTGATGGTGTTCTTGTGCACAAAAGTTTGGCCCGTAAAGGAATGAGAAGCGACATTTTGAACCCGCGCATTCTATTGATTGCCTCTGAGCTGGACTACCAACGCAAGAAAGATGTGATATCGTCGTTAGAGAGCGTTGCTGGCCAAGAGGTGGAATACATGCACATAGTCACAGAAAAGATTATGACTCTTAACCCGGACATAGTCATGTTCGAAGGCCATGTGCACCGAGTAGCGGAAGAGTTGCTTTTCAAAGCCAATGTGGCAGTCGTCAAAAACGTTCGCTCGCTCGACTTGCAACGAATTGCTCGGTGCACCGGAGCTTCGGTATTGACGTCGTACGATCATATTGACAAAATGTCCGGTGTTGGTGTAATTGGTACTTGCAAGCGATTTTATGTCTTGCTGAGCGATCAGGAGCCGAAAAGTGCAAAGCAGATTGCGTTTAAGGCCAATTGTGAAGGGTTGTACGTGGCAAAGGAAGGTTTCGAAAAGTCTCGACAGCGGAAAAAGCGTATTCAACGCCAGAACATTGTGTTTGAAGGAGGCATCACGTCGAAAGGATGCACTTTGTGCTTACGCGGAGGAACACCTGGTGTGTTTACGGACGTCACGAACGTGCTTACCGTTATCATTCGGGCGGTGTACAACATGCGGCTGCAGCGATCTGTGTTGGCATCGTATGGGTACATTGCCCCTAGCCAGAACCACGAGCGTTCTGTCGCGGAGGAATGGTTTGCCAAGTCTTCGACATCCTTGTACATATCGCTCAAGTCCAATTCACTTTCGATGCGTGCTGCTCTGAAGGAAACGCAGGCCATGTGCAAATGGTGCAAGGCCCACACACGATTCAATAACATCAGTTCGCTTCGGGTTGTTCATGGGGCGAAGGATGACATTAGCCCTACGGCAACCGTGCAGATGCGAGATTCCAATCGGTGTACATGCGGAGCGAAATCTTCAAATTCACTGAGGGACCGTATTCTATTTTCCACCTGTTGGAGTTCACTGGAGGGAAAAACGGCATCAAAAGCAGAAATGATGTGCATTGACTTTTATAGCTTAAATGACATGTCCATTGGCCAGTTTCTGGATAATTTCTGCTTTGCAAGTAGCAAGGCTGAGTTTAAGCGTGCGTTTACGACGTCAAAGCTATCTTTCTCTCATGATACCAGCCGCGCCATTATACGGGTGAAAGACTTGAATGAGGTCAAGGGTACCAGCGACCAGTTCCTCCAAGCAGAACTCCTTCGAGATACTAGTTACCGTTCTGTTCTGCAGCTAATTCGATCGGACGAAGTACTGATGTGGTCTCGCGATTTGAATGACGGGGATTTTTCTGCCCTTCTGTCCTCGGAGTATTCAGTGATTCCAGAAGATACGTGGAATTACTCCTTTGGTAAATTTCTGGAAGACATGTTCTATGGAACGGCCATGGATATTGACTATGCCCGATTTCCCCATTTAGCTGGTGTGAGCGGATCGCGAGATAGCTCGTTAGTGCACTATTTCTCTCGCCGTGGACGAGTCGTAAGTCTACATGTCGAGCCTGTTGAGCCCATTCTTCACGTCGCGTTGCAGCCGGCGCTCTGGCGGGATCGCGTTGATCACCAGGTCCAGCTCGATGCCATTCATGATCTCTGTGACCTTGTATGCGAGGTTTACAGCGTCACGACCTCGAAAGTTGCTGAATCGATGGCAGATCTGGTCACCCCACTTCACGCGAAGCAGAACCTGAGAATCTTGCGAAATGAAGTCCAGCAGTGGTACTCATGCTTCGCCACGAAAATTGAATCGAATCCACCGCAAGACGTGTTTGCTTACAACGCTCACTTTCGGAGCATATACGAGTATGCAGTTGGATGGAGTTTGCGCATTACGCGTGCCGTTCAAGCTACGGTAAAGCCAACCATGGTGCATCACATCGATAGTCCGAAGAGCGCACTTCCTAAAGCATGGTTTGATCAGCTTGCGCAGCAAGCAGAATTCAGCGATCGCTGTAGCACCCCATCGACTCCAAGTGTTTTGGGGACAACATCAGGGAGTATAAAATTCCAAGAACCTGGAAATTTGGCACACCTTGCGAGTTTTGCGCGTAGCTTGGCCGCTGCAAACAACCTTTCGCCACCTGGTGGAATGCCGCAGATCGTTAATGAAGTTACGAACACGTTGCGAAAGAACGGAACTACGAGCTCTTATCAATCGGAGCCGTGGGATACCGACGAAGGCTATGATCGTTATGACGAATCTAGCCATTCCTTTCCGGTTGATTTCATGGCAGAAACGGAGCCGTATTCGTCCGGGGCGCCGGTGTATGGAAAAGCATTGTCCACCATGGGTCATTCTGGGCTCGTCTCTTCTACCATGGGTCCTTCTGGGTACGTTTCCTCCACCATGGGTCCTTCTGGGTACGTTTCCTCCGCCATGGGTGCTCCTGGGCACGTTTCCTCTACAATGGGGACGCTCGCGTCCAGGAAAGCACTTGACGATTTCCGTTTGACGCAGCAAGCAAAGAAGCCTGATGGTTTGGGATATCTAGCGTTACCTAAACGCCTGCTCGAATGGCATCCTGGCCTTCCAATGGGGGTAAGTAAGGCCCCTGTCCTAGTCAACGCGAAGCAGCCGACATCGGTCGTGGCGTACTCGCTCTTCTCAAAAGAATACGGTCAGTGCATCAACGAAAACATGCGGAAGGAAGCCACTCGGCGCATGATTGAGACGAACTTTACTGAGGACGGCGTACCGCCGATGATGGATTGTAGTCAGTCCGAGGAGACCAGGAGAATGTTGCGTACTTTGCGCTCAACCACGCGAAACAATGTCGACCACACGTTCGTTGACGAGAACCAGTTCCAGTCCGGTGTACGGTTTTGTTGTAAATCGTACTTCGCCATGCAATTCCATGCACTTCGAAAGCTGTACTACGGAGGTGACCGGAACTATGTGGAATCTCTTTGCAACTGCCAGCAGTGGAATGTAGCTGGCGGTAAGTCAGGCGCTGGTTTTTTGAAGACGCGCGATGAACGTTTTATCGCAAAGGCCATTCCGGAAATTGAGTTGCAGATGTTTTTGAGTATGGCAAACGAGTATTTCTGCTACATGGCGAAGACTTTCGAAAACGACATGTCATCTATGCTCTCCAAAGTGCTTGGTTTATACAAGGTGTCGATTTTGAACACTACCCAAAGTGGTGACGGTGATCAAAACGTGCGTATGTGCATAATTGTGATGGAGAATTTGATGTACGGGCGCGAAGTTGACTTCTCGTTTGATCTGAAAGGCAAGATGGAAGGACGCTACAAAGAGGGACAGAATGGAGACAGTCGATCCGTTTTGTGGGATCGCAATTTTGTGGAGTTGGCTGGTGGCATACCGTTACCACTGCAGGAATCTGCGCTGTCATTACTTTTGTCTGCGATTATGAACGATACGACCTTCTTGGCGTCGGTTCAAGCGACCGACTATTCGATGCTGGTGGGTTACGATGTTGACAAGCAAGAGCTGGTAGCGTGCATCATCGACTACATCCATAAGTATGACTTTATGAAGATGATGGAGCATGCCGGCAAACGGCTGATTCAAGAAGAAGGAGAAATAACCGTGCTTAATCCGAAGCACTACCGCAAACGCTTTTGTCTGGCCATGAATAAGTACTTCGTTACGATCCCGTCACGGTACACAAAGGTGACCACACTTGTTCGGAGCACGGCATCGACCACGGCGTTCGGTGGCGCCGGCACAACACTTCAAGATGAGAAGGACTATACGCAGCCTCCCGCTAGTGCTAGTACGACTATCGGTGTGTGAGCGCAATAGCAGTGTATGCCAATTCTTATTGCTGTCAGCTGTTTTGTACACAAATACGAGCCAAATCAGAGCGTGGCGGGATTGACGATGACTTGAAGGAGAACAATGTGAAATGGCGAGGGTATCGGTAGAAGGCTCCCGAATGGGTGGATTTACGTGAAGCTCTCAACAGAATCATGATGCCAAAGGTAAATCTCGTCCGAGGGTTAGAGCAAAACCTCTCTAGCAATCGTGTGAACGGGTCGTCAAAGACTGCAACACTTGAGCTGATTATAGCACCCAGAACGTTGGTGACGAGTCAACGAAAAGTGCAGCACTTTATCAAGCACTGCTTCACCTATAAAGCTGCAGGCAAATTTGAGTCCATCAACCGATGCAATACATGTTGCTGTATTCTCCATTGATTCGGTAGGATCCTCACCAAGAAAGCAAGTTGCACAAACGTGACGTCTCGGCTACGCTTTAAAAGAGTAAGGATCATAAACAATCGGACGTGCAGTTTTGCGTGCTGAACGATGCTTGATCGGTGGTGAGCGTTTGTTTACATAAAGTGAAGGCTAGCCCACAACACGTGATGCTGGATGGAGCTTTCAAGGTCTATGAAACAGGCTCTATATGCTGCGCATATCTCGTATTTTCTGCCAAAATGGCCTGCGACTGTTGTCATGGGTAATATGATGACATCTTTTGGTGCGCTGCTGCTCCTGTTCTCATTCACTGGATCCCACAAGACCGCGAAGCAATTTGCACAGGTAGTTGCTCCTTCGACCGGGTGAATTGTGGTGCATGTCGAGCACCATCTGCAAGGTGGTAGCGAGATGTCACTACATAAACGCTGCAGCAAAATACTCGATAACTGTTCTCAAGCTCGGTCAAGACAAGATCAATTCAATCGATCTCGAAGGAGAAGCCGCGGAGTTGTTTTTACCTCACTGCTTCCATCTCGCATGAGTTTCGTATACCAGGATGCTGGCACATGAGTGCTGTCCATTTGGCGAGCACCTAAAACGTTATCATGCCTCGTAATAAGACGAGCTCTTGTTGTTATGTGACAAGCAAAATGTATGCAGGGTTTACGTTGATGACCGCAAGCTTTTTATCGCTGTACGTATTGTAGGTTTTCGCTTGATGTGTCGAACCTGGTTGCTTGCTGTTGCTGATGGACGAATCACCCATATCGGCCTGCAGCAAGACAAGCTTTTTCACGCGATCAAATTACCTCGGTGATCCGTCATGCTTCAGCAAAGGCCTTTCTCAAGCCTTGAAACATCGATGATCTCATGGAGCAGTTTACCCTTGGCATGCCGTAATATTGGTCGACGTAATGCAGCGATAGGCAAGCACAACATTACATGTTATGGCCTACTCGGCCGAAGGGCGAGAAAAGCATGGAGATAGACGCGTACTGATAAAAATACAGCGAAAGAGCGAGAGCCAGGAAAGAAGGGCTGACCTCCAAGAAGAACAAGGAAGTTCTTTCGGCGAGTTAAGAGCGTCCAGCTGCGGCGTCGTCTGAGGAGTTTAGTCGAGTGTAGGCATGGCCGTCAAGTCACTCCTCATGTTGCAGTGCTTCCTCGGTAACAATTGCAGCTTGACCTGCCCAAATGTGTGCTTTTCGAGGGTGTATTGCAAATCATAACGCTACTGTTACCTTGGCGAGCACAATCGTATCTCTACGACAGAACTGATGTCAAAGCGCCTTGTTCATTGGCACATGAACGATTGGCAACTCTACTTGACGTCTCGTACAGCGACGGACAACGAGCTGGCGACTTCCACTTTATGAGCAGGGAATTATGTAGAGAGTCGATATATTCAAACCTCTTTTCCTCAAATTCGCACCCCTATTGCCAACCTGATATTCGCACCCCTTTTGCCAACCAGTTATCGCACCCTATTTTTACCCACACTCACTCATTACATCGAATAGTTATGAGGGGCTTATTTTATACTGTATCTCAATTTGCACTCTTTTTCTATCAAAGCTAGCATTTCCGCTAAAAGGGAGCGCACCTAAAGGTGCGGTGTGAGATCGATCTCGTACTTGAAAATAGTGCAAACGAAGGGCTTTACCTGGAATACATGATTCGTTCATGTGACATCGCAAGGGGTGGGCGTGAGGACGAGAAAATTGTTGTTCTCGAGGTCAGCTCCGTGCAGTCTATTAATAGAAGTACGTACTGATATACCCTTCTACTACCACCTAACGCTTATAAAACATCACTACAAATGTCATCATTTTGCCACAACCGCAATAGCTACCCCCCTCGTGTAACGGGGTTTGTAACGGGGTGAATCGTTACATAACAATTTATAAGAAATCGTTGATAGAACATAACTGTAAGATTTATATTCTCAGAATATTGTCATAAGGACAAATATTCTGTAGCACTTACAAGTAGTTCCTAATTGGTTGATGTAGGCCATTATATCAACCAACGAAGACGCACCACGACAGACGCACGCAATGAGTGGTGATCAGATAACTGATTTACACATTTGTATTTAGACATAGTTAGATGAAGATAAATAGTGATTTATTGCAGACATTAACTATTATAAATACAGTTCTACTTTTTACTCTAACCAAGTACTCGCTTCTTCTTACCGTCTTCCTCTGCACGTACGAGTGTACGTGAAGTTACGAGGCACCGCCTTATTCTGTTATCAGAATAAGTAGCTTGTACTGTCACCAGTACAAGCTTCAGGGTGCCCCGTTACACCTGGTAGCACTTTGTAGTCCGTCCAAGGACCGCGTTCACATCCAACATGAATATGTTGGATGATGAAGATGACCAAAGCTTTCACGCTACGCGTGACGGCTACTCCCATTTGAGCGATGTCGAATGGGATGCGGTTGAACGAATGGGTTCGACCATGGGCATCCATGCTGTTAGCGTCATGCTAGAGGCTCTCAATAGAGACGCCCAACATGCTACTATCGCCAAGTTCATCCAACATGAACTTGACGCTGAACGCGAGAAAGTAGCCTTGCTTCACCAACAAGGTTCTCAACAAGCAGAGTTGTTGAGAGAACAAGGTGCTCAACAGTTTGAACTGTTGAGACAGCAGCAGGCTGCTGCTGGCGGGTCGATGCACTCGCGTCGGCCCGAGACTTTGAAGATTGACATCTCAAAGTATAGAGGGGTCGAAGAAGACTCCCTCTTGAGATGGTTCGTCGAATTGGATGACGCCATAAGGGCGCGTCGCATCGACGACGGGGATATGCAAGTTGCATTTGCCCAATCAAATCTGGCAGGACGTGCCAAGACTTGGGCACTGGGGCTCAAGCTGCACGACCCATATGCGTTTGGGTCGTTGGAAGTCTTCAAGTCGCGGCTCAGACAAACGTTTGAACCGCCTAGAGCTGAGTTCAGGGCTCGAACCGAACTCTTGAAGCTCAAGCAGGGTAAGCGTGATGTGCACGCTTACGCTCAACATATACGACATCTTACGAGTTGTATAAGTTCCAATCCAGTGGATGAACACACGTTGGTTTCGGTGTTCATGCAGGGTCTTGCGGATGGTCCCGTCAAGACTCACCTGTTCCGGCTTGAACTAGATTCACTAGAACAAGCCATTTCCATTGCGGAGCAGGAAGACTTCAGTCTGAGACAGGCTCGCGCCAGCTCGACATCATATCGTCAACCGAGACGATATGACAACGGAGGTCCAGAGCCGATGGAACTCTGTTATGTAGAGAGCGAGAAGGTTCGCTCTACAGGCTACAAGAAGTTGCAGAGATGCAACAGATGTCAGAAGACAGGACACTACGCTTACGAGTGTAGTGCCCCTCGTCCAGTGTCTCGCGACACTGGGCGTAGTGACCGTCCACCCATGAGAAAGGGGCAGGGACGAGGGTCAGCTGTTGGTGCAAAGACGCAACAACGGGATGGACCGTCAAAAAACGGACAGGATTAGTAGGTGAGGAGCACCCGACTGGTCCAGCAACGTCAAGAGAATTTGTGGGCCTCTTGATGAAGGTTGCTCCCAACACACGAACATTGTGTGTTGCTGCTCTAGGTAATGAGATCTCACTCATTATCTTGAAACTCCAAGTGACAAATAAGTTGTCCCTTCGAGCTCTAGTCGATTGTGGGGCGTGCAACAATTTTGTGCGACGCCAATCGCTAGAAGATGGTCACTTTAAATTCAGTGAATGTGACACACCTCCCACGAGGATGACGGTACGTCTTGCGACAGGCGCATCCGTAACCGTCATGAAGCGTATAGTGAAGATTCGCTATACGCTAGAAGATACCCAATATGACGATGACTTTATCGTATTGGATTTGGATGACAAATTTGATGTCATCCTTGGAATACCGTGGCTCAGAAGGTACGAACCACGGGTAAACTGGCAACATCGGACAGTAACGATGCCTGCCGCTTGTTCATCAGATGGCCATCTGATGAACGTTTTGGAGCGTCCACAAGCGTGTGGATGTACTACGAGTGAGTGCGATGGCCTCACTTGTGGTACGGTCGTTAGTACGACTGCACAAAACCTTAGTGTACCAAACGGTTACACTTCGGAGCAAAGTTCCGGCGGCTGTGAGGAAACACAGGCTGCGCCGAAGGTCCACCACTCGAATAAGTCGGGTGGACTGGGACAAAGATGTATCCCTAGAGGGGAACATCTAGAAGAGAAACAATCGATCGCTCAGGTTAAGCGAAACGATAATCCTAGATCGACTGGAGAGTCTTTCGTAGAGGATCTCGCTGTGGTTGCGCAACCCCAGCTAGAGGAAGTAAAGGGAATAAGTCCCAAGATTACAAATACGGCGGAAATAAGTTCCCCGAAACCCGCGGGAATAAGTCCCCGGGAAGACGAAGGAATAAGTCCTTCGAAGCCTGAGGGAATAAGTCCCCAGGAAATGACAGAGACATTGAATGTCATAGTCAATAACGGATCATGTGTAGGCGCTTATACACTTGATCTGATTGCGCCTCCGAAGTTAACTTCGGAGATCACTCAGTTGCCAACGCTCGAACATAAA